TAATGATTTTGGTTTACCTAAAGAGTACGTAAGGAAACACAAGCTCAGCTGGAGATGGACGGAAGTGTGCATACCTGTCAACATGTTACTACTATTCTACTCACAACTTGCCCTCGTTATTTTGTTTTCTTTCTTAATCGAGGAAAGGAACAGAAATAAATAAAGGTGTATCAAAACCAGGCAATCAATTGGAGAAAAGAATGTGCCATACCACTTGCAACAATTGTGTTGTTGTTTTTTTCATCTGAGTCAAAACCAGGATGGTTTCATTGGATCTGCTGCTATACTTGTTCAGCTGGCTGAGGCTCCTTACCACTCTTCCCCCATTTACCAACTCTGTACTTAATGTAAATGTTGTTGTTATCCATATATCCTTGTATGTGGTATATTCATGAATGATCCATGCAAGCTATGATGATGAGGGTTTAACGTAGGAATCTTTCACATGAAAGGTTGAGTCAATTTATTGCACTTACCAAGAATTTTTTGGATCGCCACCCATGAAGGTTCAGTTCTGAAAATACATGCACTGCCACCCACAATTGCAAAGTGCTTACAGGATATGAGAGAGAGGGCAAACAACAAATGCTTAAAAGAGTGGGAAAAAGTTATATATATGTTTTCCCTCCCCACTTCTATTCATCTCTTGTCACTCTTTACCATCCTTGGTTTTTTCGGTTTCTGGGGGCGGGGCGGCGCGAGAGGGCTTTTCTCCTCTTATCTCTTTGGACTCGTGCATTAGTAAGCTGTGTCCAAATAAAAGAACTACTAGCATCATTTGTGCTCTGCCTAGAAGTTTGGACAACCCATAACACACAGGATTTCTATTGATAGATATCAGCAGCTGTCAGCAAACTCCATAATTGACTCCTTTGGCTCCTTTTCCCAACAACATCACCCATCCTTTCTTAATTGTGAAGTTCATGCGACGATGAACCTCCCCGCCGAATAGAATTGGATTTATTTACCTACCCTTTTTAAGTGTTTATATAAAGTGATCTATCTTCACAAATATTTTATGCTACAATAGGGCATATCAGTAGACACTAGCAGGATATGAAAACCATGTCACAAATTGTAAAATAGTGCTACCCGATAAATCCCTCAAGCAGAGAAAACGGTACTTTACTTCTTGGTTAGTAAGGACATTCCTGATGATACTACTGCTTACATGTTTGTGAGAAAAGAAAAGGGCAAAAAAAAAAAAAAAAACACTTTTTGAGACATGGTGGCCTAGGGTAGTTTTCCGTTTATTTAGCCCACAAAGAAAGCGATAGAAGAACTGGGACGTCGGAGAAATGGAGGTCCCGTTTGCCTGAGCATGAAACCTTGAGAAGGATAGATCAAAAGGGAGAAGGGAGAATGGACGGGGGTGACCCACCCACGGGCCGAAGGATATAAGCTTAGTGGGAGTAGCCTTCGTCCTCTCTGGACTCGTTCTCACCAATGATCCCAGCTTACTGGATTTGCCATTTGGGGTCCTCCCTCTGTTACTGCATGATTAAAACTTCCAACCAAACAACTACCATCATTTGCAGATGATCGCCATCCAAACAACTGTCGGATTGCCAATATGCTCCATCCCATTTGAAATTGACTTAAAACCCCTATGTGATGTGCCAGTGCCACATGACATTACTACTCCGTGCATGAGTAGTAGTAGTTGGTTATGTACGTTGTTTACTTACAAAAGGTTTTGAATTACTGAATAGGTGTGTCTCGTATTGAAAAGCTATAAATATCTCTACGTTAATTAGTTGTATCAATGAGATTTGGATGATCATACTCTCAGCCTAATATTCTTCTAGTTTCTCTACCAAAAATAAGATAAATATGTCAAATACTTGAGTGCTTATTGGTGGATTAATTTCATTAATGCAAAATACATTCAATCATTATGCTTCACCATATTCTGGAGGTTTATTAGCAGAACCCTTTTGTACTCCAAGTTTTTTAACAAAAAAAAAAAAAAAAATCATTTCTTTTTACAAATGAAGTTGTCAAATTGACAGTTCGAAAATTTGTGATCAAATTTCTTCTCAATTTTGCAACAAACCCAAAGTTTATGCATGTAAATATACATATAAGTACTTCCCTTACTTTTGCAAGACTTAAAGAGGGTTTCCACCGCACGGATGACTGTACTTTAATTTGCACTCTGTTGACTTGATTTATTTTTAATGTATCTTTATTTACCAAAAAAAAAAAAAAATACATGCTCTCCTTTCCTAATCTTCATATCCTGCCTCAAGCACTGCTCAAACCATAAGCTACCCTCAGGCAAAAGAACTAGTAATTCTTTCAAAAGGGATCCATCGATCAACATGTGACATTAGCTTGTCAAACTTTATAGTATTGAAAAACGATGCAGGCCGAACTAATACGAATTAAAGCAAAGCCAAATTGCAGGAATAGGTTTGAAAAATATCCCTTTGTGGTCGATAAGGGGTTGTCATTATTCTTATATAAGGTCTAGTTTCAGGTAAGAATGACCCTTTATAGTATCACTCTTAGTACGTTAGAATTAGGCAATAATTGCGCGAGATGGGCACTTTTTTTGCATCTTATGCACCCTCACAACAAATGGGAAGACAAGAATTTTCACTGTTGCCATCGAAGGCCATAGCCAGTGTAGCAACTAAACAATTGGGACCATCCGCCACATAAATTTTGACTAGGCCAATAAATATTTGGTGAAAATGAAACCAAATCTTTCCCGGATTATGTTGTCCCTTGACAACGATCACATAGAAAATTTGATCCTCGCCCGGAGAATGGTGGTCCTTAAAGCTGGATGTCACTCTATGCTCCTCGGTTGTGGCCTAAGAAAGTGTACCTATACAAGCAGCAGATCAGAGATGCATTGGAGAGCCACCTGAAGGGATGAGGCAAATACTTGGTGCAGACGTTATAGGGGTTGCTACCGCCCGTTTTGTTACGATCCTGTAATCTCTTCCTAGAAACAGAAAAGGGGGAAAAAATGCCTTTCCATGTACAATTAATCCATTCGTCCCGTCGCTAATTGTCATACTAGTAATTTGTAGTAATGTTGTAACAGAAACAAAATTAATCTTGGTGTCCTTTTCTTTCCTATTAGTTTCTATCATTCAATTTTAAGTAAGAATTTTCTATGTTTGGTAAGATTGAGATGCCTTTCAACAACTGCGGCTCCTCAGTCAAGAGCTTTAGGTAACCACTGAGCTTTGACTCAGTGACACAAAAAAGGGACTAAGTCCCTCTTTAGATTGTAGACGGAGGTTCAAAATCCACCTACAATGAAAAAAATTTAAAGGAGATGCTAGAACATTCTTTCGGTCTAATCAGGTCTGTGTACCTGCTAACCCCTTACATATTGTCTTTAGACTCCCCCTCCTATTCACAGGATAGATTAGGTTATAGAAATGTTATCGTTATTTAAAAAAAAAAAAGTTAAAAGCTTTAGGATCCCAAAAAATCTATAGGGTATATTAGGTTATAAAAATGTTATCACAACTATAAAAAAAAAGTTAAAAGCTTTAGGATCCATTTGGGATTGGAGTAGTTTATTAAAAAGTACTCCACATAATAGAACTTATAATGAAATCACTTATGTTAAGTGCTTTTAATATATTATTTGGATACATAGTTCAACAAGTATTTATTGTATTAGATAATGTGTAATTCAAAATTTATTAAATGTATTTATCTTAGTTCATTATATAGAATAAAATGATTAAATTTAATGTTTTATTTTTAATACACAAAACCCATTTTTAAAGCACCAAATTTGAGCTTTTACCAACAATATTTTTTAATATAAAAAACTCAACTCCTAATTTTATGAGATGATGTTTATCATCCCAATACTAGAGTCATTTTTTGAGGATTTAACTTTTTTATGGGGGAGACATGGTAATTATTATGCTTAAATGAGGTGATATTGATGAATTTATATATGTATCATTTGAATTTAAAATATTCTTTTGATAGATGTGTATTGAAATTTTAAAAAATTACTTTTTTAAATATGAAGATTAGAAATTATGTGTTAAATTTGAAATTGTGATTCTTATTTTTGAAATATCAATAAATTGAAATTATGACAATAACAATGGAATGTTTGAATATCAAAATTTTTCAAATAATATTTAGTTTGCATCATAAACATATTTCTTAACCTATTTTTTTATATTTTGAACCACATTTTTATTTCACATACATCATATCTCACAAAAAGTGTTACAGTAATTATTTCAAATAATATTTTATCCAAAAGTATTTTCGTGCCAAAAGCACTGCGCCGGCTTCCTGAGGTGGTATTTACATCCTTCAATTGCTCGCTGGGGCAACCTTTTAAAAAGCTTCTTTTAACTTTGAAGATGCAGTTGCATATCACGAACACGAGCATTTCTAAGTGGCAATTGCTGAGTGCAATTTAAACCCAGATTAGATGACATCAGGTCAAATTAGACTTAAGGTCCTGGATTCAAGTCACATGGAATGTGAGTCTCTTCGGGTTAATAGAGTAATTCTTACCATTTTGTGAATTGATTAGAGTTATAATTTGTTCGTATTATTCGTTTCATTGTATTAATAGTAACTCTTCGGGTTAATATTTATTTATTTGTTTTCATCCAAAAATTAATGATCAAAATGTCCGTCACATTATTAGGCTGGTCCGATCGTGCAATTGTAGATAAATAAACTGAGCCGACAAAAAACCTGCTGAGCTCCGATTTCTATGTCCCACGTCATCAATCTGACACGTTCAATTGAACGAGTCAGACAAATTCATCTGGCCCATAGGAGGAGCCCAGATTCCTCCAACTCCAAGGTGGCCTTCTCTTCTCCTTGTTGTAACTCAGTGGCCTTAAGAGAGGCCCACGTGGCTTGTCATGTCACCATGGGCCCACTCTCCATGGCCACTGGACACGGTTACGTTCGATTGCGGTGCCGTTTTGAGCTGCATTTCTCTAATAAATCTATTGGGATATGCTAGTAAGCTTACACAAGTAGCAGTAGCATTTCTTTTCATCATTTTCTCTGTCATATTTACTCCGGCTGGTGGTGCCAGAGTCCGGCGTTGGGTTCGCTTGTCAGAAATTTTGGCTACTTTTTCCACCGGTTATTTATATCCCCCGCTCCCTACCCTTGACCCATAACGAAGGTTTTTCCTCTAAAAACTCGAGGCAAAGAAAGAAAAGGTCACCATTTTTTTTCACCATATCTTTTTCTGTCTTGCCAAAAAAACACACGCGAGAGAGCCAAAAAAAAACAGAGAGAGAGAGAGAGAGAGAGAGAGAGAGGTGACAGCCTTTGCATGTTGGCAGGGAGGGGAGAGGACGTTCGGTTGGGTAAGAGAGTGCAGAAAAGATACCTAACCTAGGTTGTACAAATTGTACAAACCGCCTTTATTTGTTACTTTCCGCAAAGTTCTAATGACTTGCTAAAATTATGCAGGATGTGAGAACCACTTCTTTTCCTTCCTCCCTCCCTCCCTAACTCTCTCTTCAGGTTTTGCTCAATTTCTCTTTAAAAGAAAGAGTGCTTTATGCTGGACCCTCTAAACACGCCGGCAAATTTCAACAGGGACGGTGGTTTTGATAGAATGAGCGTGCTAGAACGACAAGAAGCAATTTGGATGAAGTGGCAAGAAGAGCAGCTCCACCACCCACCGCCACTACCATTACAAGTGCGGCAACTGGGACATGATTTTTTCAACTCAACTGACCAGCTGAATGTGTTCTCCTCTCCTGCTCAAGCTCATCAGCATTTTCATGGGTTTATCACTAACGATCACCATTTTTCTGGGCTGCTGACTCCGGGGATATTGAAGCAGGATCCAGATGTCCAAACTACTACTGGCTGTGATAATTTTACAAATATTGGAGGGCCAAGTGCAGGGGTTGGGGCTTGCGAGCTTGAAAACATTACTGGTTTCGGAATGGATTACGCAGTCTCGAGGACTGTCAGTTGTCCACCAGCAATGGCAGCTGCAATGGCGGATGTGGCAGCCGCTGCCAGTAAGGGAAGGGAGACTACACTGCCTGAGAAGCTGAGCTCTAGTGCAGGGAGAGAGAGCTTCAAGAAGAGGAAGGCTGACAAGACCCAAAACCAGAAGGTTTGTGATGCAATTTCTTTGAAATGCAAGCGCTAGTGCCAGGGAATCTACTCTAGGCAGCTTACGTCTAATCAGTTTAGCCACATCATCCGGGAGTACACTGATTCCTGTTCTCTCGGATGTAAATTGCTCGTTTGTCCTTCTTTGTTCTAGTTGATCCATGCACCTTTTTTTTTTCTTTAACTCCTCGGAACTTAATTAGGAAGCAACAGAACAGGAGGGCAAAGACAAGAGATCGAGAGGATGCCAGAAAGAGGAAGATTCCAAGGTCACAGAGCAAAAAAGCACGAGCAAGAATACTGCTACAAACAACACTATCAACAGAGAAGCTTCAGAGACATCGAAAGAGAACTCGAAGATATCTGAGGTTCAAAAACCAGACTACATTCATGTCCGAGCACGTCGTGGTCAAGCCACTGATAGCCATAGCTTGGCTGAAAGAGTGAGTTGGATTTCAATTCTGACTGAAGCCTCCGTTTCTTCTGTTGGTTTGTGTGGTGGCATTTGTTATTAGGATCAATACAATGCTAACATCGTGCAATCTACGTGAAACACGCAGGTAAGGAGGGAAAAGATTAGCGAGAGGATGAAATATCTGCAGGATTTGGTACCAGGATGCAATAAGATCACCGGAAAAGCAGGAATGCTCGATGAGATAATCAACTATGTTCAGTCGCTTCAAAGACAAGTTGAGGTACGAACACCAGCTATCCACTCTTATCATATGCTTGTTAATTGAATATATGCATGTCAAGGTATTCTAACTCTCATCCTCGCAACAGTTCCTGTCCATGAAACTGGCCGCAATAAATCCAAGGCTCGATTTCAACATCGACAACATTTCCACAAAAGAGGTAAGGGAATATCACAAGTTAGCTAGAGAGTCTGAAAACCATGGTTATACCAGCAAGGTGGTAGATCCCTACAGCGTGCTGATTGAGCAGTAAAAGACAATGCATTGAAAGCAATTAATGAAATGAAAGGGATTACCTGTGCCACCTAAAAGCACTAGCATGATGAGTGGTTGAAAGTTTGTCTCTAAGAAGCTTTTGTTCATTGTCTCTGCAGATTTTTGCTGTTGGCACATCTGAATTACACACAATTGGTTCAACATCAGAGATAATTAATCCTCTCAATTACCCTTTTGATTCAATACAGCAAGTGGTTTCATGTTGCGGATTGGAAACTGGCGCAGATCCCTCTGAAATGGCACTTCGGAGAACCATTAGTGCCCCTGTGTCAATCCATGAAACGCTCAGGGAGTCACCTTATTTCAGTGTAATCTCCTCTAGTATTATGTCTCTGCTCATGTCGTGTAGAATAGAGTAATTATCCTATAAACGAAATGACTTATCTCACAAATGAATCAAAATACAGCAAATCCATCCCTCAACAACTTGGGATGCTGAGTTACAGAGCCTCTACGCGCTGGAGTTTCAACAAGGGAAATCAACATCATTGCTTTCTCAGCCATGTACAGGTATCCTAATGTCTTGTCAAACTTTTGGTGGCTATTTGATAATTCCACAAGAAGAAAGACGAGAATCAGGCTAAATTGGACACTAATAGATGTGAAACATAATAATTACCCCACAACATTAAGTGATATTACTTTGTACAAAATGGGTCCTCTCCAGTTCGAGATTGCCGAAAATGCTCGGTAGGTTTCTTGCCGTACTTTTCCCTAATTCACGTAAAGTAATGAGAATTCATCACTCTTTGGACAACTACCAAGTCCAATATCCAGTTTTCTCATTAAAACAAAAAACAAAAAAAAGTGACCACCATGGTTTTACTAGCCAAGAGATGACATGTCTTAGTACTTCAACAATGCCGTGCCAAAAGGGATTATGTGCCCTCAAGATCATACGCAGTTTCACACAGATGAGGAGTTTGGAGGATCTGGTGAATTTATCGTTTTCTTTAAATTGTTTCTCTTTAGAAACAAGGTGAAACAGAGGAATCCAATCTGATCAATTTGATATTTTTCATTAAAGCATTAGTAAGGTAGCACAGAGACAGATACCATCAGTATAAATATTTGTTACAGTTTTCCTTCAATCACATATTGGAAAGCATCCAACTCCATGTTCGAAACCTTCTATTCAACTGATGCAACCATATGAACTTGTATATTGCAGGTTATTTAGGAGGCAGCAATGTAAAGATGGAGATCTGAATCAGAAAATCACAAAACCCCTTAGATGAGCTCAATCTATCTGTTACCCGTTCTAATTCTTTTCCTCGTTCAAGTATATGATGAGCATTTTATATGTATCTCTGCAAGAAATAATATAACCTTAGCAGTATGTTTTCTGACCACAGCCTTGTATTCTGCGTGCCACTTTCAGTTTTCTGAAAGTTACATGCATAAAAGTTAACCAAGATTGGTACTAAAAATTGTGTGACTTGCGAGTGGGAAAAACTACTGGACTCTTTAACAGAAAGTTCACAAACATTGATAGGAAACAGAACTTAAGGAATAACAAGATCAAAACTACAGTTTGAATTAATTATTAATCAGACGGGTCATACTCATCAACAAGCACAAGTTGTTTCCTGTCGATTGAATCTGACTGGCAATTATCAGCATTTGACGCAGAATTAAGTAAAAGAGCCAACTGGTGAACTATAGCGGTTCGTTTTTTGGGACAGAATAAGACGTGTCGATTAAGCCCCAGACAATCAGACAACAAAAGGACTAATTTGGGGTTAAGAACTGATGCTGACCACTTTCATGTGCAATAAGTAGAAGACAAGCGGATTGAAGTTTTTTTCACAAATATCACAAGATGACTTTCATTCCGCTGCGTGCATGTGTGGAAGCAGGTACGTATAAACTTTTGGCAAATCATGCTGTAATTGAAGCTTCTATTACACCACCAATATAATTACCAGTTTAAGAAACAGATAACCATATTTTTATGAGGTGAACACAGTTTTTCTGATACGTGTTTTCATTATTCAATCAAACTCCTTTTCGAGGATCGAGACACACAAGAAAATTAGAAGTATGCTTCCTCAGAGCTCATATGTATATTTATCGCTTCATCCTTGGACCTTCTTATTGACTGTCATAGGAAAAGGCAGTAAACTGCCAGGATACATGCACTATACAGATGACTTCAATGTTATTTGTGTCTCTATTGGTGGATATCTCCAATGTTTAAACACAAATTCTGGCACAAAACTCAACTTCATATGGAACAGAAATTAAGCAATAAGCAGTGGTACTAAATTTTGTAGTCCAAGATCTTCTCTGTTCATTGTTTCTCTTACTATAAACAAAGAAAAAAGAATTTCTCAAGTGTGGAAAAAAACATTGCACCCTATCACCAGATGCAGTTTCTGAACTCAGTAGTTTGTGGACTAAGTTTCCTGTTCAGCATCATTATCTTTAGTTTTATAAAGCAGAGAAAACTAAACCAGCATACTACTTTCCCCTTTTCATTTCCTGATCATATTAAATGCACATTTCAGATGCAAATTTCAACCCGATGCTTTTAGAGAAAATCCCACAAAAACATTTTCTTAGAGACTTCCAAAGATGAGGACTCCTAAGCCAGACTGAAACCAACCAAAGTATGTTCTTCTTTGAGTAGATCCAGGCTTTACATGCCAAAGCTCGGAATCAAGGTATCTACATGGTAACATATCCCCTTTTCTCAAGACCCAAACCCCAAAAAAGAATTGTGAACCAATACATAGCAATACGTGAGAGTTGGATAAACCTATGAATTTGTAAGACAAGTAGGAATAAGATGAGAGAACCATTTACCCAACAAAAAAAAAAAAAAGATGAGAGAGCGGTGCTTCATGATACAAGTAAACAAATTTGAGAAGGGGGGGGGGGGGGGGGGGGGAAGAGGGGGAGAACCATTGAAGAATCAAGAGATGAAACATATGAGAAAACTATGATAAGAGAAAAACAGAAAAATATGCCTTCATGTTTTCCTGATTAAACTGTGAGCTTTCTGCAAGAATAGCCAGCATTCTTACTTCACATATTTCCAAAGGACCACAATCTATAAAAGTTATAATTCAGCACAAAATAGCCAGCATTCTTACTTCGCCTGTTCCAAAGGACCACAATCTACAACAGTGTAAATTAGAACGGCTGATATGGTTAACGGCAATTTCCATAAAACAACTGCAATCCTAGTTTAAAAAGGTCAACAACAAACTCACTACGTATATACAGTGAACGTTTCACATGATCAAATAATAGCATCTGAAAGTATAACGAAATCTTCAAGACTGATCAAACAACCATACACATGATACGAAACTATCATCAACACACTCACGTCGAATGAAATGAATCCTGCCTTAAACAGCTGTTGTTATCAATAACATGTTAAATGACTCCCACTGGTGGACGATCTTCAGACCCAAGTTGCTTATGCAGCCCAATTTCAACTAAACCACAGTTTCATTCCCAGCCTCTGCAATTTTTACAGAAAAAGATTCACTTGAGAAACGTCAGATATCAGTAAAAATCTATGTTGGCATGGTCATACTAAAAGTTCAGGCCTTCAGGGAGCTCAGGTATACCTTTTCCAGGAACTATAATTATGGGTGCTACTTTACAGTGGTGAAAGCAGAACTCACTCACACTTCCCTGCAATACACTGATGAAACATGAAGCGAACGCGTAAGTCATACAGAGAAGACGCACAGGTGCACAAGCACATGAAAAAAAACGAAAGCAAAAGGGAAACACAGTCGAACACAACACAAACACAAACCTCTGAATTATGCCTCGACCCCTGGTACCCATGACAACGGCTGCAGGCTTCAACCTTTCAGCTTCCCTACAGATAACCTTACCTGCATCTCCTTCCGCAATTCTAGCAAACGATTTCACCTATTTGGAACAAACAGTTCAAGTTTCATAGACATTGAGGGCTACAAATAAGAAATTACATTTTCCTCATTCTTCACAATAGTTTGCAAGACATGAGGCTCTAGAAAGGCTAGAAAACATCAAAATGCGATGCGCAAAAAGCGTGATTGCGGAACTACAGATTAGAATTAGTGACATGCTGATACTTGGTATACTTAGTCATGACTTATGGAATATGAAATCCTGAAAGTGTTTTTGAAAGAGAAGCGAATTAAGTTAGAAAAAGCCGACAGAGAGAAGGAAAAAAAATGGAAGGAGTCACTGACCATGGCAACCTGAAAGGCCTCTACACAAAGCTTCTCCATTAGTGTCTGAGTCATCTCATACACGATCTGATTCTCCAAGCCTAGCAAAACAATACCATGAGGTTACAAAAAATCTAATTCTCGATGCGCCGTAAATAATATTAGGTAACAAGTGACAGAGATGATACTGGTGCAGAATTTACTCCTAATACACTAAATAATTTAGGACAAAATATGAAATAACTTAGGGTGATTTTTTATCCATCCCCACACAAGGCCCCCGAAGAAAAATGGTGTCAGTATGATGGTTAGAGATGGAGGGAGGATGTACTGGAGACGACGTGGAGGAGATGGATGGTATCGGCGAGACGGCAGAAATGAGCAACGGCCCAATCAAAGGCGTGCTTGCTGTTGGGCCCGTGATCCACAGCGATCAAGATGTCCCGACCCCTTCGTCTGTCCCCCTGCTCCCTCTCCAATTCCGGCTCCCCTACAATCGGTAGCAGCGACGGAAGCTTAACTTCTCTCCAATTGTACTCTTCGTCTTCCATTAGCGTCTCCATTTTTTTTTTCACTAGTTCCCTGTCTGGCTGGCTGGCTGGCTGTCGATTTCTTCTTTGGACCAAGATTTTGATCGATGGTACTAATAATTGCAGTAAATTTTGACTCGTCCGAGGAGGAGGAGGGAATTATCACTAATGGATGGATGGCAGGAAGTTGATCGGATGGAGATGAAAAACAATTAAGTGTGGCCGGGTATTAGATATTTAGGATGGCATACAGCTTCACTCGCTGTGCTGCAGGCAGCAACGCAACAGCCGCCGGTGACGGTGATTCCGTGTTGAAATTATTATTGACTTCCTAGAACTTGATTTACATAAGAATTAAACAACACAAGAATTTTAAACCACAAACTTTGATTCCAGTACTTAATTTTATGACTACTAGGAGACGCGACTTCCTCAATCACTCAGTCATATGATTGCAAAACTGCGGCCTTATAATATTTTGTTGTCACCCTTGGCACCATCTGTTTTTTTTTAAAAAACAAATGATGGCTAAGCCCGGCAGCCGTCATCAAAAGGCCAAAATGAAAAAGGCGCAAGCATTAGGGGCTGGCAATTTCTGACACGATTTGAAAACACGATACGAATCTAACACGAAATTAATGGATTTGGATTGAGATTTTCCGGGTTCGGGTCAGAATTGGCTCGAACCCAATGAACCCGAAAAGAAAACGGATCGAATTCGGATCAACCCGTGGGTGACCTAATATGACCCGATAACCCATTTACGAATTAAAAATAATTTAATAAACATAAAAATTATTTATCTAACTAAACTAAGTTATTCTTTTTTTCCAAAGGCATTAATCACTTAATCCTAAATGAATTTATTTAACTTGTGTGAGTTGAAATTATTATATTTGGAAAAATAATGTATTATATTATTTTTTACTTTTATACTGTTTTAATTTATTTTATATTTGGTTTAGTATAAAACACTTTTACGGTGTTTTAATTTATTTAAGATTTGATTTGAAATTATTTATTTAAAATTTTATTACTTGATTATGTAATTAATCTTGTGCGAAATTGGTTTTATTAGAAATTACAGTGATAAATTAATCAATTAAAATTAAATTTCGGATCATTTCGAGTTGACCCGCCAACCTGAAATTTTCGGGTTCGGGGCAGGATAGTTTCGGGTTGGCAGGTCAGGTTCGGGTCAGCGAGTTTTTCTGTTATACCAGGGTCTCAACCCGACCCGCCAACCCGATTGCCACCCCTAAGCTGCATGGCCCCAGCATTGATCCCTTCCGTTTAGATTAGCTGTTTTTTGGGGTGTTTTTGAAAAATTTTGCTGTAGCAGAGTTTTTAGATTATATTTTAGGATATTTAAGAGTAGAAGAGTTTCTAGAATATATTTTGAGATATTTTTTAAAATTTTAAAAAAATTTAAACTAATTTTAGATTACCTTTTAGAGTACTTTTTAAAAAACTAGTTTTTGAAAAACTAATTTTTAGATTACCTTTTATTGTATTTGAAAAACTAGTTTTTGAAAAATAGTCCCATCCAAGGTCTCATGGGCATGCTTTGTATAAGATGATAAGCTTCTTGCATGTCTCCTGCACGACCTAAAAGATCAACCATATATTTCATTTTCTTGATAATTTTTGAGCGAAAAGACATTATTGTCCTTTTAAAATTTTTATATGACTTGAAATATTTCGTAAATTCGATAATTCTTTTGGGTATAAGGGTAATTTTATAATAATAATATAGTAAATAATTAAAATTAAAATGCTCGATAAGGCTCGTCGAACTTTCGAGCATCGCTTCTGGATGCTCGAACTCGACTCGATAGCCTTATCGAGTTGCTCGAACTCGACTCGAATTCGATTTGATCGAGTTCGAATCAAGCTTTTAATCGAGCAGCTCGGTTTGATTACAGCCCTAGCCATGTGTGCATGCGAAGATTGCCCCAACAAATGTGATGTCATCAGGTGAAATGCCTTCCCCCTGCATCAGCAATTACAATTAGGCAGGAAAGATGTGAATATCCGCCTAAAAGATTCGGAAGTAGCAGTTGGTCCTATAATCGAGTATAGCTATGGTCATTTGGCTGGGCCTCACTCCTCTCTCTTTCTCGATTTCCAGATACAACGCCAATGCATCTGCAAACTCACCATTCTGCTCGTAGAAATCACATTTCTAGAAGACATATGCGAAAACAAGCGAGAAGCTTCCCTCATGTTGAGGGTGTGCTCCCACGGGGGGAGGGGCATCCCTCCCACATCGGTTGAATGTGGGTTCTTTAATTTGGATTTAAAGTTCATAGGAGCCATCTCCTGTCACCAATTGAGGATGTGAGTTTCTTATGAATCCCTCTTAGATTACTCTTAATATGTCATTTAATCGCTGATTTCTTGAATGTTTCTAATCTAATTGGGTGTATATTTCTATCTCTCGACAGAAAAAAGAGGAGCTTCCCTCATGTCCCCACTCTTTGCGTGACCAGCGATCAAGGTTACCGGGCTGTATAGCCAGTTATTTCCTTTTTAAAAAAAATTTGGTAGCCTGCCGGGCTTAGTAGCAGAGTTCAATACTTCATCTTTGTCAAATCAATACTTGGGCGATTTTCTTTTTTTGACAATAAACAGAGGAATTAGCCACTTTTTTTTATGCTTTAATGGCTTGTATAATTAGCATTAAAATTTGAACAATAAACGACTTTCAATTAGACGCGTGAATCTGGGCCCGCCTTAGTGCAATTCAGCCCTATCAGTATATGTCACAGAACGAGTCACAGAATTTACCATTTGTGTTAGGCTGATTAGTTTTTGGGTCGAAGAACAAATATATTGAATGAAGGCTCTGTCGGTAGGTGATTCATTACCGCTGGATTACTTGATCCTCTTCAAGTCCTCCCCTCCATCCTAATGTAACCCTTCCTTCCTAATGTAACTGCAGGTAATCGATTAAAAAAAAAAGGAATGGAGGCTCTGTCTATCTAACAGCCTGTTGCTAGCTATTTCAAACACTTCCTCCCTCTCTCTCTCTCTCTCTCTCTTCTCTTCTCTTCTCTTCTCTTCTCTCTCTCTCTTAAAATATCTTCAAGTCTTTGGTTGGAACCCAATCCACTCATATTTTTGCAGGGGAATTAGGATCCCTCATCCTGATATGATCCTCAATTCCCCCTTGAATGAACAAGGTATATTAAAGCCCTTCATTTCCTCATTTCCACCGGGAAAGGTTGGGACAAAAACTTGTATCCTGTTTGAAAAATTTTTCCGTGAACATATTTTTCAATCGCTTTTTTACTTCTCATATATCAAATCTAAAAAAATGCAATCCAAACACAACCTCAGTTTCCTGTCATTCGAAAAAATACAAACAAAATAAGAAAAGAAAAAGAAAGCTCCCAAAAGCTGGAAAGTTTAAATCAGCAATTAACAACTCGGCCACAACCTGACGTAATGATAATAGTAATGCCACTGAAAATGCCAATCTGAAAGGCACCAGAAATTGCAGATTTTGTTCGAACCCAAAACAAAAAAAAAAGTAAGGATGCAAAAGATCAAATAGAGAAGAAAACGTCACTGTCCGGAAGTAAGACGGTTAAATCACACTCACACAAAATAAGAATTTTGACAGGAAAAATTGGAGGAGAAGGTGCTCAGTCTAGTAAGAATGGATTGGAGGATTTTCCTCAGTTGAAATCAGATTAACGAGATATTATGACATCATCGTCATCATAGCACCTTCTCCTTCAAAATCTCAACAAAACAAACACAAATTCAACATTTCACAAAACGATACATACTCCCATGTTTAAAAGGATTAAGCTCAAAGCTAGCAGCAGTGATCTCACACTCACAGATTTCGTCTCACCACCTATAAGACCCGCCGCAGCTCCAGTGAGATGGATTAGGGTTTTCTGACTTAATTTTCGTTATTTATAACAACGGAGTTGAACCGCAGGCTGCATACCGCTTGTAGGTTTACACTTCTGTCCTCGATAGACAGTCTCATTTTCGTGTTTATCCTAACGTACGACAAATTGACAATGCACTTGCGGTCGTAGAAAGCAGAAGGTTGCGTACGAATTCAGTCGAGCTCGAAATCTACTTTATTTTGCATTAATCAAGTTCAAACTCGGCAAAAAAAATTAGATTAGGTTAGCTTAGATTATAAAACTCGAACTCGTACACATCGAGTCCAATTAAGGTTAATTCAAGATCAGTTGAACTTAATTGGGTTTAAAAAATATTATTTTATATTTTATATAATTTTAAATAAGAAACAAAATAGATATTTCATATTAATAAATAAAAAATTAAAATATATATATGTGTGAAATTTGATTAAGTTCAATTAAATTCGACGAGTTTCACATATTAAGCTCACATTCGATTCGTCGAGTAGTTCGAACTACTTGAACTCGATCAATTCAAGTTTGACCTCAAATTTTGACTGAGTAAACTCGCATGTTAGTCAATTACTTGATTAAGTTCAACTCATTTGTACCTTAGGAAATGCATAGTGCTTTATTTATTTTTAATTCTTTCTTTTCCACCTCGAGAACATGCATTATGGAATTGTCAGTGACACATAGGGGTGTAATCAAGTCGAGTAATGTATTACTCGAGCTCAACTCTGAGTTAAAAAACTTGGACTCGAACTCGAATTTGAACTTGTCGAACTCTTGAAAATTAAGGTCGAATACAAGTTCGATTTTATTTTGTATTACTCAAGTTCGAACTCGAATTCATACTTATTGAACCCAATCAACCTAATCGAGCCGAATCGAACTTAAGAAATATAAATTTATATTTTATATAATATTAAACAAGGGAGAAATAAATATTTCATATTAATAAATAAATTTTTTTAAAAAATATACATATATGTAAAGTTCGATTGAACTTGATTAAGCTCAATAAGCTTTCGAGGTTCACATATTAAGTTCGAAATCGACTCGTCAAGTAGCTCGAGTTACTCGAACTTGGTCAATGCTAATTCAAACTCGAGTTTTGACCGAGCAAATTGGCGAACTGCTCGATTAAATTTGACTCGTTTGCAAACACTTTTTACCGAATTCTCTTTTTTTTTTCTTTTCCTCTGTCTGTGTCACCGAATTTGCGTGTGTTTTGTCATCCCGTTCGGTTGTTCTTTCTTCTGCCTTCGATTAGTTTGTGAACGTAATTACACGCTCCTATGACCTATGGGTTGCGAATTGCGATTGAGATTGATGGGTTTGCAGGCGATTATTGTATTTCTGACATAATTTAGTGTGTATTTATATATACAATTTTAGCCATATATTAAGGTAGCGTGTACAAATAAAATTTCTTTGTATAAAAAATCATCTAATATACATCACAAATTTATTTTACAAATACAAGTTTATAATTGCACGAAAATCATGATCTTAGCTAATACGACCACTTAGATCG